AAGGCAGTCTTAGATTTCTCTAGATTTACTTTCAAAATAAAATAACCCTCATGGTTTCTGCTACCATAGCAACTAAAATCTCTTCCACTGTCTATACTAATTCTGATGAATAGTTTTGTAAAAAGCAACTGACTAAGAGATTCTAGCACAAATGCCCCCCCACCCCCACCCCCCAAGCTGTTTCATTCCATATCTCATAGGGACAGATGGCTCGTTGTATTAAATAAGACTTGAGCCTAGGGTTTGCTTTCTAAAGTGGGCTCCTCTTGAGACAGTTTTTATATTCAACAGGAAAGTGTGTGGGCATTGAAATTACTCTACACGTCACAGCCCAAATAAGCATTTGGTCATTGGAGAGAAACATCCGGAGACCAGAAGAAATCATCTGACTTAAAATTTCAACACTTTTGAAGACCAGGAAACAAACGCAAACTTTTTCCTCCAAATTTGCTTTTTTCTTTACATGATATTCTTCTTACTCTCTTCTCCTTGAAGCAAAGTTCCACATCTGCTCTTGAGTTCTGAAAATTGCCAGCTGCAAATCCTGACCTGCCAAGGGCTCAGCTATATTTGCCCAACTGAGAAAAGGTAAAAACAGAATCTCGGAGCCAGTAAAGATTATAAACATGTTTCTGCAGCGTTGGTGTGCTGTTTATAAAAATAACTCACTTGAAGACTTTAATAAGCCCCCAAACTTCATTATTTTTCTCTCCCTCAAGTACAAAGCACAGATGTCTTGGCATGCTGGAATTTGAAGTTTGGAATTTTTAGGAGAGGCAGTGTGTAGGCAGGGAACTAGCACCCTGGGCAGGTAGAGCTTCAGCAAGTCTCCTAAAATAAGGTGAAAGAACAATCCGTGGCCTAGAAGCTTCGTGAAGACACACAGGTGCTAGGGTGCAAATGTACTGAACCAAAAAGGGCACTGAACGTCGATATTTAAAGACTTTAGACAATCTTACCACTTTAAAAAATAGGCAGCACAAATTTGTGTATGAAATTCTGAAGTAAAACAGTGGTAATATAAAATACATGACTATCTAACAAGACTAGAAAATTTCATGCAACAATAGAGGCTTTGCTTAACGTAAGAGTTTTTTCTATGTTTATAGAATAAGACATACTATTGTAAGACTATAAAAAGGACCCCGAAATTTCTCTTCCCTCTTTTTATAACATGACCATCCTCTTCCCCATTTCGACCCAATGTTTCTTTTTCTCCCAGCAGACTCTAGAATTCTACTGCGCAATTTGATAGCAATTAGCCACATCATCTATTTAAAATTAATATAATCCTTTTCTTCAGACTCACTAGCCATTTTAGTGCTTCAATAGCCACATATGGCTAGTGGCTACCGTAGTGCACAAAATAGAGCATTTCAACAACAGAAAGTTCTGCTTCTCTTGGAAGATTCAAAATTTTCCAACTTTGTAAACATGGAATTTTATGCCAAAAATGAGTATCTAATAAATATTTGTAGAATGAAATTTCAGCTTTTTCATAATTTTAAAACATAGCTCAATTCAATTTTTAGTTGTGGAAAATAAGTGACCAATTAAGATATGTAAAATAGCATTTACATTGAAAGGATTTACATTGTAAGTTTCATAGGGCATGGGACTATGGGGTCATTCTAATAATCTCCACTACTTAACAAAGTATCTGATATATGGTTGGTGTCTGAAACTTTAACAGTGCTTTCCAATGGAATTAGAACTTCTATAATGTCTATGTTGGAGAATGAGGAGGAGTGAGATTTGATTTTCCATTTCATATATGTTTGCAGTTTTAAACTGTGCATTTATAATATGCTTGGACTTTTTATTTTTTAAACAGTGACAAGCTTTAAAGTTTGGGAAAAGTTTAAAATGGATTATTTTTTAAAGCCCTGTTTGTATTTGAATATACACACACATTCAAAGAAACCATGTTTCTCTATTTTCCACAGTAAATGCAGATACAAATATGCACAGAGAAAATTTGCCTCTCCCTTCAGATTCTCAGCCAGCTGAATGGTAACACTTGAAGAAACGTTGATACTACCAATTATATTGACTCTGAGACTGATTAGATAATCCTTTGACTTTAGGCACATCTAGCCACCAAATTTAACCAGGTTATATCTAAACTAGTAATATTTTTATGCTCAGAAATCTACTAGTTTGCTTTGCGGTGAGTATTCAGGTAAACAATTTTAGTAAGTTAAAAAGCTTTTGGGACTTCCCTGGTGGTCCAGTGGTTAAGACTCTGTACTTCCATGGCAGGGGACCCAGGTTTGATTACTGTCAGGGAACTAAGATCACACATGCTATGTGCTGTGGCCAAAAAATAAAAATAACTTTCTTGAAATGTGACTTAAAAGTGCTTTAACACATTTTATATTTTAAATTACAGCAATACTTTCAGTTGCCCAGAATTGATCTTGTCCCTCTGAATCATTTAATTTTCCTTGGGTGTTAAGAATTTTTAAAATCAATTTTTCCGTATTTTCACAATGTTTTGGGATAATAGAATCTGTTTCATTCTTTTGTCACAGAGCATAACCATACTCAAATGAATCGTGCTCTAATTCTTTTTTACCTGGGAGGCCCTATAGTTTTAAATTTTCAGCACCCTCTTTCTAGTCTTACTTCTGTCATATATAGACCTACTAAATTACTATTATCTTACTTTAAACACATCTCATTAATTTTGGGGGGCTTCCCTGATAGCTCAGTAAAGAATCTGCCTGCAATGCAGGAAACCCTGGTTCAATTCCTGGGTTGGAAAGATCTACTGGAGTCAGGATAGGCTACCCACTCCAGTATTCTTGGGCTTCTCTTGTGGCTCAGCTGGTAAAGAATCTGCCTGCAATGAGGGAGACCTGGGTTCAATCCCTGGGTTGGGAAGATCCCCTGGAGAAGGGAAAGGCTACCCACTCCAGTATTCTGGCCTAGAGAATTCCACGGACTATATAATATAGCCCATGGATCACAAAGAGTCAGACATAACTTTCACTTGCATTAATTTTATATTCGAAATTCATCATTCTTACCCCTTATCTTCTCTGTTGAATAAACACTCAAAAATGTTAATCAATGTTGCACTGAATCTAGTTAACAATAAAACCTATTCTTTTAAAGGGGCTTCCCTGGTGGCTTACACAAGAAGATTCTGGAATCTTGTGAATCTTTTTTGTCCGAATCCTCATAATCCATGGAACTGTCTTTGATAATTGTGAATAGATGCAATAGAAGTTTTAAAAATCACACGGGCTAGAAAGGCTATCTTTATACTAAATTAAAACTTTATTGAATAAAGAACACTCTCCAGAACACATGATTGATGGACTAGGTCTACATTACATGCAATGAAGCTGAACAAGACAGTAGTTTAACATGGAATGTCAAACAAATTAGTATTTCTCATTGTACAAAACTCTTTATGTAGCTGACATGCAACAAGAAAAGTATGCTATTTTGTATTTTCCCTAATCATCTGTGATGAATTTTTAAAAAGCATTTGAAGAAACTGGTAGATTTCTTTAGGATAGACTTCAAATAAATTAGTTACATGTGTACTACTGAAACCTCTTTCAACCTCTCTTGCATTCCAAATAAAATCTTAGTGCAAACATCAAAGTTGATGGTTACTCCAAAAGACTGTCAAACTCAAAATAGAATACAAGTTCTGAATTAATGTGTATTAAGTAGGACAAAACCAAGAATACCAGTTACTGCAAAATTCATTTAGGCACACTTAAGAGTCCACTCTAAGCATTTTTTCTAAGTCTCTCACATTAATTTCTAAAGCATGTTTACAGTACTAAAATTCTATCGTTCAAGCATCAATGATTATATTTCAGGAAAAGAAAATCACTCATTTCAGCAATAGCATTACTGCTATATTCTAAAAAAAAAAAGAAAAAAGAAAAAAAAAGAATCTAAATTAAAAAAAAAAAACAGCATCCTTAATAGGATACATGGAGAAAAAACATTTTAGGGAAAAAAAAATGTGCTTTATTTGCACAGCAGGAATTATAAAATGTAAACACCATATTGGCCCACACCACAAAATCCATGAGAAAGGTTCAAATTTGAACACCATGTGTGCATTATTTTCAAATCTGTGTTTGTGAGTTTATACTGCATCTATTTGTACCAATACATGACAAATAAAACACACTCTTCCACACACATTCACAGACAAGTGACTGTTAAATATTGAGCATGGCTTGCTTCCCTGACTCTAACTCAAAAAATGCTAAGTGATATCCCAACTGCTTTTAAAATGTTTACAGAAATCATTAAACGAATATGAATAGTAGTTGAGGAATGATGCAAAGTGATGGTAATACTATATGCAAGTGAATGTAAAAAAAGAATGTACAGATAACCGGCTGAGATTTGCAATTGCATGGAAAGTCTTCTTTTGTGGGCCTTATCTGAACTCCTAACTGACACCACGAAGAAAAAAATCTAGTAGCACAAATTCATTGACACCTGGAGGGTCAGGCCTACAAAGCTTACCTTCAAAGTGCAAATTTTAACAATGGAATGTTTTTAGCAGGGACATAAAGACAATCATCTGTCTTTTTCTTGATAAAGTTAAATGTTCAGAAAGTATTTTCTCCTGGTCAAACTTATTTCAGTTTCTTGGTAGAACAAAAAAATATTTAGCCAAAAATATCACTGACTCTTTCACATACACAGAACTATTCTTAGGGGTGTGTGGGAAAGAAAAAGGCCTTACCTATGGATCACCTAATGCAACTTTTACTTAGAACTGAAGCTTTTTGAATCAACTACATTAAATACCAACATGTACCTCCCTCAGCCCCTCCCTCTCCACCCGCCTATCCCTAACAGCCCCAATGAACCAGGTATTCTAATGTCTTCCTGTTTTCTAAGCCTCATGACAAGGCTGTTGAGTACCACCTCCAATGGAACAAAATGAACACCTAAGGTGCATTTTTTATAGCACCTGTTTCTTCTCCACCAACTGAGTGGGATCTCGATTGGACCTAGATCTCCAGGTCATCAGGCCGGGGTCGGCTGCTGGCGCGACTGCTGGCTCTGCTGGAAGGCCGCTGGTCCACAATGGCTAGAGGCTGTAGTTCGTGGCCAGCATCAAGTTTTTTAGAATTCTGGTGGTCATCTGGGAAATCAAAAGGCTGTGCGTGGGAGTTAGAGATGGTGCTGCCTGCCTGCCCCATTCGATTTTGTTCTGCGCTGTAATTGGCCCAGTTTTGCTCACTTGCTTGTTTGTTGTAATTGCGGCAAGAAGAATTGTTTCTGTCTCCGGTCACTAGCTTGTACCCGGGAGGAGACATGGGCGAGAGAGGAGCGGTTGGGGAAGAGCAGCCATTGAAATAAGCATATTTTGGAGATCCACAGTCTTTGGAGGGGCTCAGTGGGCCAGTGGTAGCGTGGTAAGGATCGCTCTTTCCCTTCACACGATCCTTAACACCCTTGAAGAAGACATAGAAGAGTTCAATGATGTTCAAGGCAAGCGACACCAACGACACGACCAGCATGAAGATGATGAAGATGGTTTTCTCCGTGGGCCGAGAGAGGAAACAGTCCACCTGATGTGGGCAGGGATCTCTTTTGCAAGTGTAAACGGCACTCAAGCTGAATCCGTAGATGTACCACTGGATCAGCAAGAAGGCCACCTCGAAGACAGACTTGAAGAGGATGCTAATGATGTAGGTTCTCAGCAAGCCCCCTCGCATCTTCACTTTGCCGTGCTCTTCAATACCATACTTAAACTTCTTAATTTCAATCTGCTTCAAGTGCATGTCCACATTGGCACCATCAGTTTGGGCAACTTTGAGTTCCTCCTCTTTCTTGTTCAGTTTCTCTTCCTTTCGCATCACATAGAACACATGAGCCAGGTATAAGAGTGTGGGAACAGACACAAATATGATCTGCAGGACCCAGAAGCGCACATGAGAGATTGGGAAGGATTTGTCATAGCAGACATTTTCACAACCAGGTTGTTGAGTGTTACAACGAAAGGCGGACTGCTCATCACCCCAGGCTGACTCAACCGCTGTCCCCAATAGCAGGATTCGGAAAATGAAAAGGACCGACAGCCACACCTTCCCTCCAGCGGTGGAATAGGCTTGAACCTTGTCAAGGAGTTTGCCTAAGGCACTCCAGTCACCCATGTTGCCTGGGTACCACCTGAAAAGAAACCAAAAGACAACTAAATAATCACAGATCCAAATTATTAGTTTAATATGCAGTTTCTTTCAGCCAACAATTCATAAAATATTTCCTATCATTCTAGCATCCTTCCAAACACAAAAGCAAAAAAAAAAAAAAAAAAAAGCCCACAAGTGCAAATAATTCCATTTTCCCCTGAAAAGAGGTCTCAGATTTTCTTGATATATGCTAAGTTTTAGAAACCTCAGAGCCTGTGTGCCAAGTAAAGTGAGATCTTAACCTTGTGAAGAGGTATTACTTGTTCAACCACTGTCTCACCTTGTTGCTTGAGAAGCTGTCAGTGCTAAATGTCTCTGCTTATTTTATTGTCTGAAAAATGAGGATCTTTTTTGCCTGATAGGCCTGTATCTGCATGCTTATCTAAGCAAAATGCTGATGTGGGATATTCAAAACCTATGGGTCCCTAAGAATTGAGGTAAAAACTCCCATACCCATGCACATGTACATAATCTGTTTTCAAACCTCAATCCTATTACATATAGCTCGTTATTCCTAATTGTAAACTGAAATGTTTCTCCTTGGTATTTCAAGTGTTTTTGTGCATACTCTATATTGTGGTTATTTATACTTCTGTTTTTTCTTAAGCACTGACTTATGTGGTTTGGATATCTGTCTTCCACCCAGAGGCAAATATGTTGCACTCAAAGGTACCATCGTGACATACTGTGTCCCTAGATGCAGGAACCTACTTTCAAAAACAAATACTAAATGCACATCACATTTCAAGTAAGAGTTCAATTGACCTCAATACTAATTATAGCCTGAAAAATAAAAAGTAATCTGTTATCTGTAGTAAAAATGGTTGTTTTTCATCTTTGGATTGCTGTATACTTTCAAGTTCCTTTACTGGATTTTGGACCCTCAGCCCACACCTTTTTAACTTCCTATCACTACCTTGATATCTTAAGCCTAGGACTTTCCCATTACTGGGGATGAGAAATAGCCTCAAGTGTAAACAGATGACAGGAATCCCCAAAGTTATTAGTTCAATTTATACTTTTAATTGCCAGTAGTCTATTCAACTGATGAAAACTGAGGTCTTTAAAAGTGTTAGTGACTCAGTCATATCTGACTCTTTGTGACCCCATAGACTGTAGCTGGCCAGGCTTCTCTGTCCATAGAATTCTCCAGCAAAGAATATTGGAGCCAATAGCCATTCTCTTCTCCATGGGATCTTCTCAACTCAGGGATTGGACCCAGGTCTCCTATACTGCAGGCAGCTTCTTTACCATCTGGACCACCAGGGAAGTTTTGGAAATATTCACCTATCAGTAAGGCCAGAAAAAGACTTTCAATCCCAAGACCAAGGCTTTCCAATGCACAACACTGGTCTTAAAAGTAAAGTTAAGCTGAGTCAAAGATAGAAATGTTCTCATGCTTTGATATATACAATCTTAGCAGGGGCTGAAATCTGGGAAGAAACGAATAATATTGCATGAGGCAGTCACAGAGAATCCAGTCTAATTTTCAGCAGAGAGTTATTGGAGGGTTCAGAACAGGATGAAACGGTCAAAAATTATTTAATAATTAAAAACAAGCAAAGCAAAGACTTCCCAGGAACTTACTGAATTTTAAAGAGTATAACTAAAAGTAGGATTAAATAGGTTTCCCAGAAATAAGTTTGCTGTCTTAATATAAAGAACTTTTTCAGCTGGAATTAAACTGTGAGCCTGTTCTCCTTATGTGAAGTAAATGAAATCCAGGGGAATCTTCTGCCCCACTAAGCAATATTACACTTCTGTCTACTCTTGTACCTCCTGGTTATAGAGGCCAGAAAAAATGAACTGGAAACCTGGCCTGGGATTTCCTGGATGGAACAAAGAGGAGATGGCTGATCCATAAAGTGAAACTCTTATCGGCTATCTAAATTAGCAGTCAGTGTGTATTTTTTTATGACAATCCAGAGACTGGTGCCAAAGACTGACTGGGGAGGTGGGGGGTGTAATGAGTGGAGATGAGTGGGCAGGTTATAGGAAATAACGCGCTTCTGTCAGTGGTCATAAAGAAAAGGAGCTTCCCCACTAGGAAGGGCCATTTTAGATGGTAAAGTGACAGTGAAACTGATGTATGGAATGAGCAGTTAAGCAAGAAAAAAGGCTTGTAGGATTGACAAAGAGTTAAATAGCCAGGGAAAGGCTTGAAGTGAGAGGGAGTAATTTAGCTTTGACAGACAGTTTGATGTGAGAGAATGTAAAAGAAAAAACCTACAATTTAGCAGAAGACACGGCACTGGGAATGAAGAAATACAGTCCATGAGAGTCAAACAAATACAGCAGAATTTTTGGAGCTCTATCAATAGACAGTTTCGATGTGATGATGTGTAAATTGGCCCTGATTCTGTTTGTAGAGAATTTCACTATTTTGCCAGTGTCATCTGCTTTTGCTCAATACTCCAGCTGTGGGGGGTAGGGAAGATGAACAACAAAAAAAATCAAGTATAAAATGATAAACTGCACAATCTCAACACATTCACACGACTGAGCTTAAGAAAAAATAAAAAGTGTTTCAGGCATAATGAGAAGTTATTTTAGTCAATGTTTCATTACTATTTCAAACAAAATATACTGATGCTTGTGGCAAATAATTACTAAGTTTCTTTACACTCTATGGAAAATAAAATCTGACTACCACATAGTTCTGAGATTCCACAAAAATAACCTATACTGCCACCAGTGTGTGAACTGGTTACTGGGCAGCTCTCCAAGTAGTAGCAAAGTTGTCTTTTATTTAAGGAGCCATACAGTTGTCATTTGCACTAATTAAGTGAATTACACTCTTTCATCTGTTGATATGAATTATCCAGTTGGACAACTTGTATCCTGTAACATGTAAATACCTGTTATTAGCACTATCATAGAGACTGTCAGATAGTGGTTAATGTGATGGCTTATAGTGCTTCTGATTTTCAAAGAGAGGTAACAGAACCTTTTTGGCACTCATTCACTTTGCTGTGAATTAGAAATTCTACTACTGTTTGTCCCCTCATCCCCATTATTGGTTTAATTTTTCCAAGTCATAGTTGAAAAATTAATGCCTTTTTATAAGAAGCAGTCATGAAAAAAAAAAAAAAGAAGCAGTCATGATTATGTTTACAGAATCCCCTAGCATTGATTTACAGACTATATACCTCACTCACATTCAACAGTATGAGATAAGTATACTCATTTGATACTTTAGAAAATCATGGCAGTTGAGCATATATCCTGTATACTCATTTCTTCACTGCTATGTTCCCAAGGTGGAAGTTTATATATAGATTAAGGTCTAGGTTAAGAAGCTGTACAAAGTTCTCGTTAGAAGCAAATGCTTGACAGCGGTTGGACTACGTCCTCCACGTACCATGTTAGATCACATTTTTCATGGCTCTTCACGGCCCTCCAGACTAGAAGCCAAAACCTCAGTCACCCTAAGGGTGACCTGCCCAAGCACCTTCCGGACTCTCCGCAGTGTGGGGAGGGTTCAGTGTGAGCAGCAGAACTCTCTGGGCACCTGGGAACAGAGCTTACCTGTTACTCTACAGCGCCTGACGCTCTACCTCCATTAGCTGCTCCCCGCGAACACAAAGACTCAAATACTTCATTCAAAATGGAAAACAAACCTTCAGTGTTACTTTTGACTGTCCCCTTTTTCAGAGACATAGTAACATATCACTGTGCCAAAGCTATAATCAAGATACTATGTCATTAATGTCCTAATAATGATTAGGAGAATTAGAATACATTTTACTTTCAATTTTAAAGATTTTTCCTAAGAAGAGATACTGTAATCAGTTGAGTGAGTGAAATAAAATAAACAGGATTGTTTACTGATAAAATCATTTAATGGATTTGGGTGTGAGGGGAGAGCAGGAATCAGGGAGGAGGAAGTGCCATGTGTTTCTAATATCCTAAGCCAAAAATTATGAGCCTCTTGGGACTTCCCTGGTGCTTCCACTGCAGCAGGGGCCAGGGGTTCCATTCCTCCTTAGGGAACTAGGATCTGGCATGCCAGCTTGCCATGCAGTACGGGCCCCCTCCTCCAAATTACAAACTTCAAAACTGAACAGTAAATTCTAACGTTTTTCTTTAACTTTTGTAAGAACCCCCTCTCCCTTGTGGTGAATGACTTTGAGTGGGCTCAGTTGTGACCATTCCTCTATAATTACAACAGCTAGATGTGCTTTGGGTAGTATTCACACCCACATTCAATTAACACAACCCATATTCAATCTGTCAGCAAATGCTATAGGCTTTGTCTTCCCCCCAAAACAGACTAGGAGTCTCACCACCACCCCAGCTCTTAGCCTGATCTCAGCCATCACCAGGTTACACGTCATCTCTCTTCAGGTTACACATCGACAGCCTGTGACCCTGCTTGCCAATCTACTCCCCTCAAACAACCTGGAAAAAACTAACAAGCTGATCTGCCTTGATCAACTCTGTCTCATCCCCATGGCTCGTTCTGGTCTCACCTCTTCAGCCAGTACTCCAGGCCTGTCACTGGCTACTCCCCCTGTTCTTTTTTTGTTTTTTAATGGTCTTTAGCTCTACTTGACATATTATATATATTTATCTGTTTATTGTTTGTCTGCCTCCATGACAAGGACTTATATCTGCTTTTCTCAACTAGAATGTGAGTTCTATATGGGAGTTTCTTGTGTCCACTGCTGTATCTCCTGTGCTTAAGAGAGTTGAGAGATACCAAACATCTATTGAATGAATTAAAAGGGGCCTGTAACAAAAAAGTCACCAGGTTTCACCAGTTTTGTTTGTTTGCTTACTACCTCCTTGGGACTCTCTTAATTATAGTTACCTATCCCAAACTTCTGAAGTTTCAAATTAATTAAAAAGGGACTCACACAGTTAAAAAAAGTATTGTCAGTATCTCATATGATAAAAACTATTCAATTTTCAAGTGATAATTGCTGTAACAGAGAACTGTCTGTTGAAGCAATATATTTTAA